GATGTTATACCAAGACTCGTGAAAATAAAATAGTGTTCTTCTTCGAACTAATAGAGACGATTTTTCCAATCTTCTGGTACCTCTCGATTTTTATTATTTGAACTTGGCGGCAAGTAACCTTTAGTTTCCCAGTCTATTGTGTCCATTCATAGTCTTAACAATAGGGTGTAAATTGCCATGCGAGCCTACCGCACACGACCGCGGTAAACCTATGGAATCTATGCATAAATTTGCATAAAATGCGGTCGACCGGCGAGCACCCACCACCACCGCGGTAATGACCGCGGTAAACCGCGAGTTTGATTTCCTACTCTTCCCTTACAAAAATGGCTTGCTCAAAATCAACTGAATTTTCTCACAACACTGTTCTATGACACCTCCCCAAAGTTTTTTTTTACGTCCACATTCTTGTACTGTTACTGCAATTTGGATTAATGACTAGACGGGTATTCTCATGATCTTGGTGTGCCATTTCATCCAACTATGAACAAAAAAACAAAACACCAAGACCAATTTAACTTACTTGTACTTATGAGTTTGCACTTTCTCAAGTAAACCTTCCCGATATAAGAGTTTTGGCAAGAGTAATTCACTCATCCTAATGGTTAGAGGTGACTTGGTTTCTCTCTTTTCAAACAACTCTGGATGGTTGCACACCTGTAGTGAGAATGAAAACGAGTCATGAAACAAAAATCTGCCAACCTCCGTTAATCCCACCACTGTCAAATACCACACTTAATAAAAACAAACCTTTCTAAACTGCATAACAAGATTCATAAGACTACTAGTGCTACTCTGTATTTGAGATGAATGGTGAGAGCTTGAAGACTGCAGCAGATCTTCAATAGAGATTTTACTTCTCAGCGCCTTGTACAGATACTTCTGTCTTGTTGTCAGACTACAGTATACCGATATTTCAATCTGAAATAAGAAATGTGTGATGATAACTGTCAGAATTGCAAATTTTAAATTGTTCTTCACGTAACTCTCCATATTTTGAATTGGGGCAAATAGCTGATTATTATATCTCTTGAAACAACGCAATAATTTTATTATTCTCGTGAAACGACGATAAAGCAACAACATTCCCTCAAACTAGGGTATATTTATGAAATATAATAATCTATGCCATGTGAAAGACAAAAACAATATTCAAGTGACATGAACCATGTACAGCTTGGCAAAATGTCTCATCTTTGAAGGTGGAAATAAAATTCATGGTAAGATAATAATACAGTAAGCCGCTTAATTTTTGTTGTGAGGAATTTTTGCCATTTGATGGCATTCATGGGGATAAAATATCCCTGACTTGCATACCGGTAATCGCAAATTTCTGTTTATTGCAAAATCAAAACTGTTTACAGTAGTCAATCTCAAACAATTACAGCACATACTCGTGCCATTAATATGACCTGCCATGCAAGTTTAATAACAAAACAACAACAAATACCTTATCTGACAATTCATTTTCCACATCTCTCTTCACTCTTCGCAGCATGAATGGTTTCAGAATCATGTGCAGTCTTGATAGTTGCTCTATCAATAAACAAGTGAAACTAAAATTTAATTTTTGTTTTGTCAGTGTTTCAGTCAAGCAGAAAATGTAATCATGGATAGCAGGGTCATTACAGCAATGAGAACCCATACAGAACTTTTTCGATATCTTTTTTAAGAAATCAAAATCTATTAATATTTTCTATAAAAATAAGTCATCTCTTAGGGTCTCGTACTAGACCGAAGCATCCTGTAGTGAATCAAAATATCCTTAATGTGCTTGGATAATAGTCAATGCATGCACATCCTATTCTCAGCTGTTAAGAACCGAGTTGAAAGACTTGTGATTGGTTCAATTCATGTAACCTTCCATACCATATGTGCAATATAGGCAATCATAAGACTCCTGACAACAGCATGTCAACATAGTAAATACATGACATGCTACTCAAGTCAGAAAAGTTGTTAATCTGGGCAGACATCGTAGTTAGACCTTTTAAAGACAGAAATGAAAAACAACAACATATTTATGACAATTGCAAGAACCTGAAAGCAGAAATTCAATAAAAGACCGTGCTGGAACCCTGGTGACGCAAATCCAATTTGGCTGTTTATAATAGATGTATAACGCAACATCATATCTGAAAACAATGGTAATGTAGTAACACATACCTTCACTGATTCCTGACTGCTTCTCTACATGACTCTCGATATCTTTAGAGAACCACTCATTGAATTCCTCATGGCTATCAAACAATGTTGGCATAATGAAATGAAGCAATGCCCATAGCTAGATAGAGAGAGACGAACATTATTTAATTTCATTTGGGCATTGCCCACAGCGACATGCTCTTGGCTGTCATCAGTAAAAGTAGTAAATTGAAATTATCTCACGATGAATTATGGGAAATATGAATATTTAATGTTTACAATTCTCGATTACCATATTTACTAATACTAAAATCCAGAGAGCACCCAGTAGCACATGCTAAAAATTCATCATTTTGTAGACTAATTAAATAAGCATACTTTGAGGTTATTATGAGGATACCTCAAAGTATGCATGAAGACAGTACAGGAGAAGTATCGTGGAGGTCGATGCGACAGCATACTATCTGAGTGTATACGTTGAGGTATCCTCGTAATAATCTTATTATTATACATCTTTTCCTTCCAAGGATGAATCATGGGAATACTAAAAAATCCAAAAAGTTTAGAACAGATTCAGCGCACTTCTTTGTGTGGAGTTCGGTCAAACACTGGAGGAAGTCATGTTTGTTTTTATTATTAGAGGACGCTGACGTGCGTAATCATTGCATATTTAGAATTGGCATTTCCTTATATGGTAGAATGAAAATACCCCGTAAAATACCACAAAATTACCGCACGTTGTAACTTATGGCGTTACCGTGACAGATGTATAATAAAATAGTGTACGGTATTCAAATCAAAATTATATCTCAAATTAATTGGTTGACTTATTTGCAACAAGAAACAATACATTGACATTTGTTTTTGCTATATTAATTTACAAAAGATAGAACTTTTATTTCTATGAATGAATTTACCTCTGCCATACTATTTTGTATTGGGGTACCAGTTAATAGTAATCTATTACGACAGTTATAACCAAGCAGGATCTTCCATCTGGCACTGAACAAAAACAAAAACAGACATAATCAACTACAATCTTGGGCTAGTAACCATCAACAACTTAGAGAAGCAATATCCATGACGACAAACACCACTTCAGCATTCGTAACTAAGTACACGATAACAAAAAAAAGCATTCCGGAATATGAATACCGTCCAGATCCATCAATAAAAGTTGAATATCATAACTTTAATTTTAGGTTCATGCATATAGGATGAAGAAACAGTAACCATGACAACTTACCTACTACTGCTCTTTATGGCCTGAGCTTCGTCTAGAATCATATACTGCCATTTGATTCGTTGGAAATATCTAACGTCCTGAACAATCAACTGATAGCTGGTGATAAGAATATGAAACGGAGCATCCTCTCGATGAAGAATTTCTTTCTGGCTCCAAAATTTGCGAAGAACCTTTCTATCACCTTGGTTTCCCCAGTAAGGCAGTACCTGTAGGTGTACATACAGTAATATGGTTTTGGGCGTTTTGTGTGGAATTTATTTTCACTGATTTTTGATGAGTTTAATGTGAAATATAGGAAAAAAAAGTATATTCGCTGGATTTTATTTTCACGGAATCATCACTTCAGCGAAAATAGCGAAAATAAAGTATTCTACAGTAATTGATTTTGATAACCTTCGAGCACAAAAATAGACGCCACTGACTCCCCAATTAATTCATATGTATCCCAAGATGCATGATGTATGTTCAAAGTTTGAATGTGATTGGCCAAGACGCACACAATAACGCATAGAGGTAAAAAAAAAATAATCCCATTTAAGTTCAAAATAACTGCAATAATTTAGTGATCAGTATATCTGGGGAATATGGATAACAACAAACTGGAACAGCTAATTTTTTCAGTGGTCTCACACATTCAAGGGATCATCATTTTTTACAAAGATATAGCCTACCTTGAACCTTGGGGTGAATCTGGTGCATTCTTGTTGCCAGTTGTGTAGAGTAGATGCCGGGGCAATAACAAGAAACGGACCCCAGATACTTTGACTCTGTGGAAAACAAATCAAGTCTATTAGAAGTTTGCACTGCAAGACATACATTGTAGTTAACAATATTCATCAAATTTAACACATGAGGGATACAGCATTGGATACTTGTTCTGAAATTATACAAAGAAAGCAATGCAGGCATTGCGACTCCAAGAAGATTGTGAATTATTTTGTTTTTTCCTTGCAGTAAGAAAGTGAGAATTAAGTTGCTATGGATACATACCTCTGCAAGATGAGCTAACAGGGCAATACTCTGTACAGTTTTACCCAAGCCCATTTCGTCAGCTAGAATGCCATTGATGCCACAGTCATAGAGATTGGCCAACCAATTCATGCCTTTCAACTGGTATACCTTTAACTGGCCATGAAACATCTCTGGTTGGGGAATATTCTGACTAGCAAGAATGGATGGGTTGGCTAAGCTAACTGAAAATTGAAGAAGATTGTTTGGTCAAGTTTTTTTTTTAGCAAAATATACATTCATGTTATTGTTTCTTCATGAAAGGTGCACATCCACAAATGTTAGTGAAGGACTTAACTTTTTCACCCAAATTCTTCTGCACTTTTTTTATTTTGTTCTTCAATATTTCTGAAAATGAACTCTAATTTTGTAGCCAACAGAAACAAATTTGAGCCAATTTTCAGTTTTCACTCAAAAAATTGGGCTATTTTTGTCCCAATCTTCTGAAGGAAAGTGCAAACTCTAAACAGGCATATTTTGTGATGAGAACTGGAACTGATGGTGAAAAGGTTAAAGAACAGACTGGAAACAAGGCAATCGTTTGTTTTTTAATTTAATTCTGGCCAAAGATGTTTGTGTGTCCTCATGTGAATACTCGTAAGCATGCGCACGTTGTTGTTCGTTACATTACTTTGTTAAATTTTGATTAATGTTTAAGAAGTGACACTAAAGAGATAACAGAAAACAGCTTTCACATCACACTCCTGTGTAAAGCTCACAATAGTACTTACAATCAGACTGATGGGACAAAGGTGATTGTTTCTTCCGGTGTACAGCTGCTACCTCGGCATCAAACATTTTTGTCTTTGCTTCGTGAGCACTGAAGGCACTTTGAGCATTGTGTAAGGCCTGATGTTTTATATACTGACTATCTGTAGGTAGAAAGAAATTGAGATTGAATTGCTGGCGGATATCAACTAATGTGAGATTCAACAGTGAATAATTCCTGTGTAAATTAAAATTTGAAGACACAAGATGAAAGTTTCATCAAAAACGAAATACGAAACCCCATATGAAACCAATTACTGTACGTCTTTGTACCAAATTTAAACAAAATGGGTAAGCAAAATTACATTAGAAAATTCCAAGTAGGTGAAAGTGTATCTAAGATAGGATAGGACATAATGAAAACAAAATAGCCGAATTAATTGAATCATGAAACACATTATAAACTCCAATATGTCATGCCTTGGACCAAATTTAACTCCAATATTGTCATTTTTTTAATATTTTTATATTGACTTAACCATGTAAGGAGATTGAACAACATTGGTCAAGTATGTCAGAGAAATTAGCAAAGAAAATTAAAATCTATGAAATTGTATCTAAGAAATGATGACACATTCATGAAGGCCATTGTCAGGAAAACACGAAACCCTTCTGTATCATACTACTGGTCAAGTTCTTACCATAGTCATCTCCTTCAACATCAATGACCATTCCACCTTCAACAGCAACTGGTTTCTTAGAAGATTTCTCTTCAAGTTTGTCCAGAATCTTATCTTTCTCTTTTTCACCCTCTCCAGTTATCTTGCGACTCATGAAATGTGCATACAATTCTGTTTGGGTGATGAGGAAATTCAGTTTGCGCTGCTGTCTCTTAGCCTGTTGATATCCAAGCAATATGTGAATCATTGTAAGAACTTCTTCAATCAAGTTGGAAAAGAATAAAGCATTTTACAAACAGCACCAGCTATAGACACTATAATTAATACAAGTATTTGTTCCACTTCTCTAACGATAAAATAAGCGATTGTCTGGGACTGAAAATTAACTTTGTTAACACCATATGCGTTTCATAGTAAAATAACCACACTTAAATTGTACTGACTGGACACACAACATGTACCAGTTTCTGAGGTTTTAAAACCTCAAAATGGGGGATATTTCCAGAAATAATTTATATCAAATAAAAATGATTTTGGAATATGGCTGGCCCTTGGGGGAACAGTCCTGGATCCAAAAGCATGTGACTGAGACTTCTCAGGCACTACAAGTTTATTGCAAAGTACAGTGAAATACTTTATTTTAATTAATTTTCGCTGAAAAGGCATTTTTGGATGTTTTGTATGAAATTTATTTTCACTGATTTTTGACAAGTTGAATGTGAAATATAGGATAAAATGTATATTCGCTGCATTTTATTTTCACGGAATCATCCTTTCGGCAAAAATAAAGTATTCTACAGTATCTACCGTAAAAATCATATTTGAGGCCGCAGCTTTAATAGAAGCCGCACCCCTAACTTGAGACATTGTTTCATGTTGAAATTGACAAGTTTTGATCCCAGGGAAAAGTCTGCAATATAAGCCGCACCCCAAAATCATGGCGTTTTCCCATCAAAATCAAAGCCAAACGATCGCACTACAACAACGGTAAATCTCTTCCGTGTTTAGTTTACCAAGAGGTCGCTGAACTACATATTAACATATTTAAATGAGCTATGGTAATTTAATCACGTTGGCACCATCCAGCGTTTCGATTGGTTAATTAGCGACATAACAGTTTCAAGTCACTAAAGATGTTTAAACTAACATGGCGGATATCATATCGGATCGAGCATTTATATGTGACCAAAATCATTCGCTTGCGGTGAAACTAAGTTGAATTTTCACAACAATTCAACGAATTTATTTTTTGTACATTATTGTAATCACTACTGATTAATAATCAGCAATTGTAACACTTCGAAAACAAGTAAGTTATTCACTTGTGTGAAACCAGCATGACCGTTTCCGTGATCATTTGCTACTAAGAATGCATTCGTTTTTGTTTTGACTTCTTTTAGAATATACTTTTCGTTATCAAAAAAAAATAAGAAAATAAATATATATTACATTA